GTTTAGGGTCTTTAGGGTTTTCAGGGTTTTGAGGGCTTTTGGGTTTTCAGGGATGTTTTCAGGGTTCTTGGGGTTTTTTTAGGGCGTTTAGGGTTTTAGGGCTTGCAAAAACACTTTCGCACCCCAAGTCCCACAAATCTCTCACTGGGCCAGCCCGGCTCACTCTGCATCGTGGCCAGCTGCGTGCGCAGCTCGGTTACCTGCCAGCTGCGCTTCAAGGGCAGGAGGGCATCGAGGGTTCTGAAGCCTTAAACCCGAAACCCTAAACCCTAAACCCTAAACCCTAAACCCTGAACCCTAAACCCTAAACACCCTGAACCCTAAACCCTATCAATAGGGTTCTGGGTCCACACATTTGGGATGCGGGACCAAGTTGAGCCTTGGGAGTTGTGCCGAGGCGCTGTTGCAAGAATGCGGATGTAAGCTCACGTGGGGTGGGGGGCGGGGGCTCGACCCAAGTTAGGGCTCTTTTGGAATTTGTGTAGGGTCTTGGACTTAAGTTAGCGTACGAAAAAGGACCAAGGAGTTCTAGGTAAACCTCGCTGTCATTCAGGGCTGCTAGACAGGGCTTAGGGGTTTGACTTCGGGTTCCACCAAGCACCCCCTAAAGCCTTGCGTCTGCAGTCTCCCCTTCCTCGGCCCCTGTGGCCCCCACTGCATCTGTGGCCTCCGGCCCTTCCTCGGGCCCTGCTGAGACCGACCCTGCTAGCCCACAAACCTCGGGTTTAGGGTTTAGGGTTTAGGGTTTAGGGTTTAGGGTTTAGGGTTTAGGGTTTAGGGTTTAGGGTTTAGGGTTTAGGGTTTAGGGTTTAGGGTTTAGGGTTTAGGGTTTAGGGTTTAGGGTTTAGGGTTTAGGTTTCAATTGTCTTGCTCTTGGACCTCAAGGGTGTCTTCCGCCACAAGCGAATCATGTACATACATCGACCTCGCAGGCAAGAGGAGTTGTAGTCCACCCGAGCCTGATCATGATCGATACTATACTCCCCTTAGAACCTGAATAAAAATAACATTTTTCAATATCCTCTTGGGTTTTATATAAACAAAAATAACAAATGATTCCCAAGGGGGATATAGGTTAGCCTGCTATCTAATACTGCAGGCCACAGCAACAACACACGCTGCACGGACACTAATCGAAATAAAACAACTTCAACTCAATCCTGAAGCCCTAAACCCAAAACCCAATACCCCTAAACCCTAAAGCCCTACTCAAACCCCGACCTGACAAAACTGATTAAACCCCAGGCCCTAAACCAGTTAAAAACTTAATCCTTATAAACCCTGCCTCTAAAGCCCTGAGCCCTAAACCCTAAACCCTAAACCCTAAACCCTAAACCCTAAACCCTCAAACATGGGGGAGGCTGCAAGACTATGTACCGAGCCATACTTTCACAAGGCTGAGATCCAGTGCACGCATGGGCTACGCTGAGGACCTTGTGAGGGCTTAAGGATTGGGGTTTGATTAGGGGTTAGGGTCTGGGGTTTAGGGTTTAGGGTTTCGGGTTAATTAGGGCTTAGGGTTTAGGGTTTATGGAGGGTTTAGGGTGAGACTTGCATCAGAGATCTTTGGGTGAAGGAGGGCGCGTACAACAAGGACACTCTGCAAGATGCGCGTCAAAGGAGAGAAAAATCAAACCGCACAAACCAAACACCTCCTGAGCCACCCGAAATCCTCAACCCTAAACCCTACTAAGCCCAAACCCTTAACCCTAAGCCCTAAACCCTCTTTCATCAACTCATGGCTTTAGGGATTAGAGCGTGGGCCCGCCGACAGCCCGGCACGCCTCCGCCGCGCGCCGCATCTCGGCCTCAAGTTCGGCTCAGTCATAAACCCTACAGGGAGGGACGCCCCAATCTACTATTTGCTTGATAAAACTAAAAATCAACATAAATAAATAAATAAACATATATATATATATGTCTTGTTCGTTTTGTTTACATATATATATATACATATATACATATACAATCATATACACATTTTCTTATCGGGGCACTATAGGATTATCTTCTAGTTTTTGGTGGGGTTCTTAGGCAAATAGTCGCTTACGATTCCCCCCCCCCTTGTACGCCAGATGGACTTGGCCCTGACGTGCGCAGCAGCCTGGCACCTTCCGCCTTTCTCCCTGGTTTCGGGTTCGGGTCTATGGGGTTTAGGGTTTAGGGTCTAGGGTTTAGGGTTTGATTCGGCTTCAGGGTTTAATTAGGCTTTAGGGTTTAGGATTTAGGGTTTGGGGTCTAGGGTTTAGATTTAGGGTTTAGGGTGTAGGGTTTGGGGTTTGGGGTTTGGGGTTTAATTCAGGTTTAGGGTTTAGCGCTTAGGGTTGGGTGTAGGACTTAGGTTTGGATTCAGGATCGGAACCCCTGAGCCGAAACTTCACAGGAGCCAAAGCTGCTGGGCCAAACCACAACAGCCATGTAAGGAATAAGCCGTCGAATATGGGGACCTTTTTAATTAGAATAGGGTTTAGGGTTTAGGGTTTAGGGTTTAGGGTTTGGGGTTTGGGGTTTAGGGTTTAGGGTTTAGGGTTTGGGGTTTAGGGTTTAGGGTTTGGGGTTTAGGGTTTAGGGTTTAGGATTTATGGTTAAGGGCTACTATAGGGCCTAAATAGTTAGAATAGGGTTTTGGGGGGTAATTACAGTATAATTATAAACAGTCTTCCGACCCCTACATTAAGCTGAAATAAACCCTCAACCCTCGACCCGACACTCTCAATCCTCAACCCTAAACCCTAAACCCTAAACCCTAAACCCCGGAGTGAATTCCTCATGCGTTCCCTGGGGCCTGCTGGAGCCCTTCCTCTCGGTCCTGCATGGCTTCCAGCCGATCCTGCGGACACGAGGCTTGTCGCCCGAAGGGCTTAGGCTCATAGGGATTACGGTTTAGGGTTTAGGGTTTAGGGTTTAGGGTTGAGGGATAATTAGGGTTTAGGGCTTCGGGATTCTCAGGCTCGGCTTGCTCGCGAGCACACGACGTCTGCTGTGTCAACTTCTCGAGCAACCCCACATGCTTTTTGCAACAGCTTGCCGCCACACAACCCTTGAGCCAAGCTTCATACTACGGAACTGGACCCAGGAGTGCCCTTTTTGGTTTCAGGGGGGTTACCAAGGGACCCTAAACCCTAAACCCTAAACCCTATACCCGAAACCCCAAACCCTAAACCCGAAACCCTAAACCCTAAACCCTCCACCCTAAACTCTAAACCCCCCTTCCCTCCGACTGAGGCCCGTAATGCCTGCTCCAGTTGCTGGTGCTTTGCCTGCGAGGCTTCAGGCTTGCTTTCCCACAGAGGGGTTTGGGGTTGAGGGTTGAAAGGCCCTGCACACGGACTTCGCATCCATTCACCGCGCTGTACAATCTGTGAGCAAAATCATCAGAAACATGAAAAACATGTTTGCACGAGTCAGAACGCGAATGGCCCAATGATGATGATAACGACCTGCTGGAACTTCAGTGGCATTACACCTAGATGAGATTTAACTGGGTAGCTCTATCTTCTGGTCCCTCTGTATTTGGGAACCCTAAGTACACGGCACGGCCAAGTTTTATCACGGGAAGCGCAAAAGGGACCATGATGTAGAAAGCTGCCCAACTGAGCACTTCCCAGATAGGGGTACCCCATGTTCCACCCCAAGTAGAGTAGAATCCCCCTCATAAGGACTCGCAAGCCATAGCTTTGAGTAGCCCACACCTGGACTAAATTGGCCCTTTACACACCTCTCAAATGAATTCAAACATCTGGTTCGCTTCAACACAAGGAGGGACAATAACAAATATTCCAGGGGCCTAAACCCTAAACCCCAAACCCCAAACCCCAAGCCCCAAGCCCCAAGCCCCAAACCCCAAACCCTGAACCCTGAACCCTAAGCCCTAAACCCTAAACTCTAAACCCTAAACCCTAAACCCTAAACCCTAAACCCTAAACCCTAAACCCTAAACCCTAAACCCTAGCTACGAAGCACAAATCTTCAGCCTCAGCAGCTTTGGCGTTCAGCTCAGAGGCCTGCAGCCTCTCCTCCAGCACCTTGAGGTTGTAAGAAGGTTTAGGGTTTAGGGTTTAGAGTTTAGGGTTTAGGGTTTAGGGTTTAGGGTTTAGGGTTTAGGGTTTTGGGTTCAGGGTTTGCAATTTAGGGTTTAGGGTTTAGGGTTTAGGGTTTAGGGTTTCGCCGTACTATTTCGTAGAAGCTGAAATGTTACGGTTTCAGCAGAGCCTCGCAGGCCTCGCGAAATGCGAAGGGCGGTCACGGCCCGATGTTGGAGGGCCGCTCTAACATTCTCTCCCACCCCACGCCGTCCAAGGCGGCAAAGCCACCCTTACCTAGTCCTTTTAGGGTTTAGATCTAAACTCAATACCTCTTTCGCTTTTAATCTGGTGTAGGGGTCAGGCCAAAGGGGTCCAAGACAGCAGGGGCTAGGCGTGGGGGGGGGGGGGGGGGGGGGGGGGGGAGGGGGGCGCGTCCTCCTGGCCCGTGGGGGCACCCCATTGAAACAGAGGGGTCAGGGCCAGGGAAGGTCAGGGGGTGCCAGAACCACAAAAAACGCTTTTGAGCACCCGCCCTGGCTGGACCCCGGTCCCTGGACACGCTGCGGTGAGGGGTCTGGGTCCTCCTGGCCTGGGGGCCTTGGGGTACCCCCCCTGAAACGAGGGTATTTACCTTATCAAGGGACCAGTACTAGTCCCCGGGAGAACCTGTTCCGGTACCGGGCCCATCGTGGGTGCTACCGACCTCCGGGCTGCAGGAGGCGGGCAAGCCATTTCGCATAGAGGTCGAAGGGCTTAAGCGCCGCCCCCCTTCTGTAGGGGGGCGGCCTAGGCCCTGAGTTTAGGGTTTAGGGTTTAGGGTTTAGGGTTTAGGGTTTAGGGTTTAGGGTTTAGGGTTTAGGGTTTAGGGTTTAGGGTTTAGGGTTTAGGGTTTAGGTTTAGGGGTTAGGGTTTAGGGTTTAGGGTTTTGGGTTTAGGGTTTAGGGTTTAGGGTTTAGGGTTTAGGGTTTAGGGTTTAGGGTTTAGGGTTTAGGGTTTAGGGTTTAGGGTTTAGGGTTTGGGGGGCGGCTCTTCAAAAAGGGATCCTAATCCCTGAGCCCGAAACCCTAAACCCTAAGCCCAAAACCCTAACCCGAATTTAGAGAACCACACATTTAGAGGTTGGCTCCTGACCATCTGAGAGGTGTACCTACCTTACTATATGGGGGACCCAAAAGAGTACCTTTCAAAAAACAGAGAACTGCCCATGTGCTTTGAAGAGCAGCTCGGAAAAAATTCTCACCTAGTAAGAAGGCCAATCCCTAAACCCTAAACCCTAAACCCGAAACCTAAACCCTAAACCCCAAACCTTAAACCCTAAACCCTAACCTTGAACAGACTGGCCCCATTGGGAAAGCAACGTTTGCTCTTCAAGGGCCCCAAAAAAACATCAAGAGTCAAGAGCTTAAGAACCTCCTAAATCTTCACGCTACTTCAGACCTGCGACCCCAATCAAACAGTTCAACCCTCGCATGACGCGAAGTTCTTGGAACCCTAAACCTAAACCCTAAACCCTAAACCCTAAACCCTAAACCCTAAACCCTAAACCCCAACCCCTAAACCCTAAGCCTTAAACCCTGTGCCTGCCGTTTCAACCCGACCCTGATTCAACCCTGAAGGCCTCGGTCGGCGAAGCCTGGAGGGTCACGCGAGCCCGAAACCCGAAACCCTAAACCCTTTTTGCAAATGGACGATACACCCTGACCCTAAATCTCAAACCTAAACCCTAAACCCTAAACGCCAAATCCAAAACCCTAAACCCTAAACCCTAAACCCTAAACCCTAAACCCTAAACCCTAAACCCTAAACCCTAAACCCTAAACCCTAAACCCTAAACCCCAAACCAAAAACCAAAAACCCTAAACCCTTAACCCTAAACCCTAAACCCTAGACCATTAACCCCAACCCCTTCAACCCCAACGGCCCGCCTTCACCTCCCTCTGGAGCCGCTCCTTCTCGGCCGCAGCAGCCGACCGCAGGGAGGAAAGCTCCTTTCTGGGGGTTAGGGTTTAGGGTTGAGGGTCTAGGGTTTAGGGTTCAAGGTTCAGGGTTTAGGGTTCAGGGTTTAGGGTTTTTAGGGTTGAGGGTTTAGGGTTTAGGGTTCAGGGTTCAAGGTTCAGGGTTTAGGGTTCAGGGTTTAGGGTTTAGGGCATCAAAACCCCAAGCCCTTGCCCCTCTCCTCTGCGAGCCTCTTCGCTTCCTGTCGCACGGCAGGTTGCACGTCTGCTCATCTCTACCCGGTTTAGGGTTTAGGGCTGAGGGTTCAGGGTTTAGGGTTTAGGGTTTAAGGTTTAGGGCTTAGGGTCTAGGGTTTAGGGTTTAGGGTTTAGGGTCAACCCGGTGAAAGCATAGCCCGACAAGTGATCCTCTTAAACCCAAGAAAGGACCGTTCGAACATCCCAAGGCCCGACCCAGTAGAAGGGCGTAGAATGATCATTGCAGGATCTGGACACCTAAACCCTAAGCCCTAACCCCTAACCCCTAAGCCCTAAACCCTAAACCCTAAACCCCAAAACCCTAAACCCTAAACCCTAAACCCTAGAAAGATGAGGCCTTCTCCTTCTCCAGCAAGGTGGCGCGCACCTCGCTCGAGGCGAAGCTAAAATCCTGAACCCTGTAATCCTAAACCCTCTAAACCTGCAACCCTAAACCCTAAACCTGTAATCTTAAACCCCTAAGCCTGTAACCCTAAACCCTAAACCTGTAACCCTAAATCCTAAACCCAGGTGCTGCGGTCATGTCAAAGGGCCAGGTGCTCTCCATCGAGTCTTGAGGCGCTCTCTCGGCCCACAGTGGGCTACAAGTACCCACAGAATTGTGGGGTTTAGGGGGTTTAGGGTTTAGGGTTTAGGGTTTAGGGTTTAGGGTTTAGGGTTTAGGGTTTAGGGTTCAGGGTTCAGGGTTTAGGGTGAGCCTTGATGCCGCGGCGCTTGGGGCTGTGGGAGTCAAGTGCGTTGGATGGGAAGGGCGTCAAACCCTAAAACCCTAAAAACATGAACCCTAAACCGTAAAGCCCTAAGCCCTAAACCCTAAACCCTACTCCCAAGATCTCGTTCGGGCGCCTTCACCTCCGCCTCATTGAGGCGGGCCTTCAGAGACCGGATCTCCTCTTCCTGCGCCTGGCTGCAGGCTTCTCGGGTTTCGGGCTTGGGCGGCGGGGGGTCTTGAGGCTGCAGGGTTTAGGGTTTAGGGTTTAGGGTTTAGGGTTTAGGGTTTAGGGTTTAGTAGGGCTTATTAGGGTTTATTAGGGTTTAGGGGTTGTCAAAGAAGAATGGCACCATGGAGTTTCTGGGCTTGTGCCAGTGCAGATATGAGGAAGTCATTCGAGCTGCTACGGGGCCCTCTTTGCTTGGAGGTTCATGGTACTTGTTAACCAATTATAACTATACTTATAACTGTACTTATAACTGTACTTATAACCTTGTTAGGGCACTTAAGGGGCTTATGTGTGGGTTCTAATTACACTTATAACTGGTTAATAAAGTACCATGAACCTCCAAGTAGTGCCGTGAACTCAGAGTACGGCAGGGACTCTGAACTCAAGACTTAAGAAAACCCAAACCCCTAAACCCTAACCAGACAGGGGGGTTGGGCTTCCGGGTGCCCCAAAAAAAGAGAGAGAAAGAGAGAGAGAGAGAGAGAAACAGCGAGAGAGAGAGAGAGAGACAGACAGAGAGAGAGAGAGAGAGAGCGACAGAGAGAAAGAGAAACCTCTAGAACCCGAAGTGCCTTAGCTAAATCAGAGCCCGTGGGCCCTTGTGGTGCAAAACGTAGGGTCTAGGGTTTCGGGTTTCGGGCTTAAGGTTTAGGCTTCAGGTTTTAGTAAAAAGGGGTCTAGGGCACAGGGGACATGGGGTATAAGGTATAGCACACAGGGATTTGATGTCCTTGGGCTTAGGAAGAGGCCTCGCCGGCGTCCATCTGCTTTCGGACCTTCTCCTCCTCCTTTCAAGGCACTAAAGGAGGGAGGGGTTTAGGGTTTAGGGGTTTAGGGGTTTAGGGGTGTAGGGGTTTAGGGGTTTAGTAACTCGTTGTGTCGGGATTGAAACCCTAAACCCTAAACCCTACACCCTAAACCCTAAACCCTAAACCCTAAACCCTATATAAACCCTAAACCCTAAACCCTAAACCCTAAACCAACGTTGAGGCCCACCTGTTGAAGAAGCAAAAGTACCCTCAGGGTTGTGAGCCCAAATAAGCAAAACCCACCGCAACCTAGGTCCCAAGCACTTAAGGAGTAGGGTTTAGGGCTTAGGGTTTAAGGTTTAGGGTTTAGGGTTTAGGGTTTAGGGTTTCGGGTTTGGCCCAAGTTTGGGGCCTTCAGGGGCTTTGAACCCCAAAAGCCCCTAAAAGCCCAAAGCATCCGAAGCCCTGACCTCTACAAACCTGCCAAGTTGGGATGTTCCCCCTTATTCTAACAGTCCTTAGCAGGGATTTTCATGGGGAGTACTATCATCCCTATTAGGGACCTTAAACCCTATACCCTAAACCCCAAACCCTAAACCCTCAACCCTATATAAACCCTGAACCCTAAACCCTGAACCCTAAACCCCGTTAAGGGCTCTTAGTATAAGGGGGAACATCCCAACTGCCACTGCTTCCTTGTTGGGGTTAAATTAAAAATGATCCTTATTGGGAATTATTAATCTGACAAAAATGCAAAACCCTAAACCATAAACCCTGAATCCTAAACCCCAAACCCTAAACCCTAAACCCCAAACCCTATACCCTAAACCCTAACCATCCCCAACTGCCCAGGTCCTGCAGGATCTGCTGCCTGAGGCGGTCGACCTGCCAGCTCCCCACCCTGCCCCTCCCCCCCAGCTGCTCCACCCCACCTCAGACCCCCCCTCCAGCTTCCCCCCCCCCCCCCCCCCCCCTCAAAACTTTTTGGGATATACAATTTCCCCCAACCCCTGAGACCCCTGGAAACCCCTGCAGACCCTAAACCCTAAACCCTAAACCCTAAACCCCTCAGCCCCGAAAAGAGGGCGGCGGTGCTCTCAACGCAAGCCTCGTGTAGCGCCCGCCGCTCGGCTTCGGCCTCCAAGAGCAAAAAGGGTCTAGGGTTTAGGGTTTAGGGTTTAGGGTTTAGGGTTTAGGGTTTAGGGTTTAGGGTTTAGGGTTTAGGGTTTAGGGGTTAGGGTTTAGGGGTGAGGGTTTAGGGTTTAGGGTTTAGGGTTTAGGGTTTAGGGTTTAGGGTTTAGGGTTTAGGGTTTAGGGTTTAGGGTTTAGGGTTTAGGGTTTAGGGTTTAGGGTTTAGGGTTTAGGTTTGAGGGCTTAGAGTTTAGGGTTTTAGGCATTAGAGATTTACGAATTCACGTTTGACCTAGGCGGCGTGCATGTGGATCGGCCAATTGCAAGTCCTGAGCTCTGCAAGGGGTGCGGTGGGGATTAATCTTCCCTGGTCATGTGTATGCGGCATCCATAAGGACCCTAGACCCTAAACCCTAAACCCTAAACCCTAAAGAAACCTTAAGCCTTAAATCCCGAGTCTCGCTAGCCTCCCGGCCCCTACTTGTTTAATTCCGCGAAGCCCTGCCCTCTGAGCTGGAACCCAAAGCCAGTTAAACTCCGACATACAAGGGCTTAGGGTTTAGGGTTTAGGGTTTAGGGTTTGGGGTTTGGGGTTTAGGGTTTAGGGTTTAGGGTTCAGGGTCCGTGTAATATCGGAAGCGCCATCTCATCATTAGAGGACTGACCGTCTCCTGCAGGCCTTCTGCGTGAAGGTCTGCTGCCAAACTTGCTGCTCGCGCTGGCTCTGACTCTCACGCTCCTGACCCGCCCCCTCACCCGCCCTCACCCCCAGATCCGAACCCATGACTGACCCTTACCCTCAACCCTCAACCCTCAACCCTCAGCCCTCAAAGAAACTCTCTCAACCCCCACCCCCACCAAGGTTTCCATGTATGGGGCCGCCTATTTGAATTTGTCTTGGGGCTCTCTTAGCAAGCACCCTCCCAGCCAGAGTAATCCTAGAACCATCCTGCAAAACCCCAAACAAGTCCTGAGAACCCGATTTGGAGGCCCTTCCCTGAAACCCTCAAGCCTACACCCCAAGCCCCTAAAAAAGACTCTCAAAGGCTCAAATGGGTTGGTTTCTGAAATTAAATTCAGGGTGCCTTGCTATCAGGGACCCCAATAAGGGAATCCTACTCTTTGGGGGTTATGTTTGGGGCTGCTTCTGTTCGTAAACCCTCAAATCTCAAGGCCCTCCAACCGCTGAACCCCCACCCTGAACCCAACAAGCCAGCCAAACACAAACCCTCGAGCCCTGAGACCCAAACCAAATCAACCCCAAACAGCCCCAGCACCATCTACAAAACCCCAAACCTAGATCCAAAAAAACTGACAAAAATCCGACAACCCTAGTCAACAACCCTCATAGGGTTTCGGGTTTAGGGTTTAGGGTTTAGGGTTTAGGGTTTAGGGTTTAGGGTTTAGGGTTTAGGGTTTAGGGTTTAGGGTTTAGGGTTTAGGGTCCAGGGTTTAGGGAACCCCCCCCCCCTCCAGGGCAGATTCTCCTTGACCTGCTCGCGCGTTCCGCGGAGCTGGGCTTCCAGGTTGTCGAGCCTCGGGGTTTAGGGTTTAGGGTTTAGGGTTTAGGGTTTAGGGTTTAGGGTTTGGGGTTTGGGGTTTGGGGTTTGGGGTTTGGGGATTAGGGCTTCATATTTCGGGTTTGAGGGGTTTTGGGGTTCCGGTTTTTAGAGGTTTCGGGTTTGGGGGTTTGCGGGCTTTGTCCTCAGTGGAAGTTCTTACAGGATGTTCCCGACCCTTGAACCCAAAACCCCCCTAAGCCCGAAACCCTCACAAACCCGGAACCCGAAACCCTAAACCCTAAACCCTAAGCCCTAAGCCCTAAGCCCTAAGCCCTAAGCCCTAAGCCCTAAACCTAAGTTAGGGAATGTGCTCAAAGTGAACATATAAGCCGCCTTATCGCAACCTATGCAGCCTCAAGCTCAAGGAGGAGCCCAAGGTACCAGCTGCGCTTGCAGGGACGACACCTGGAACACGGCTCTGTGGGGCCCTAAACCCTAAACCCTAAACCCTAAACCCTAAACCCTAAACCGCAAGGGCCCGAAGAACGGGATCCTTTCCAAGAATCCCCCTTCTGGCTTCTTTCGGGCTGTGAGGCTTGTTCGAGCAAAGTTCAGGGGAGAGACCTGTGAGTTGAGGGCTTAAGGTTTAGGGGGTTTAGGGTTTAGGGTTTAGGGTTTAGGGTTTAGGGTTTAGGGTTGAGGGTTGAGAGTTGAGGGTTGAGGGTTGAGGGTTGAGGGTTGAGGGTTGAGGGTTGAGGGTTGAGGGTTGAGGGTTGAGGGTTGAGGGTTGAGGGTTGAGGGTTTAGGGTTTAGGCCGTAAGAAAGCTCGAAGCACCCCACTCTGTATGAACAGCACGCCTCAGAGCGATTGCAGAAGGTCTAGCAGGCCAACGCCTGGAACCTCGAACCCCTCAGAACAATCATTCCACACTCCCCTTTGCCCTGCACCCTAAGCCCGAAACCCACAATCCCCTAAGCCCTGAACCCTAAAAAGCCCGCACGCAAGAAAACTAAGCCACTCCACAACGATCATCCACGAAAAGGGGGCTCAACACCCGAGCCCAACCCCACAACCCTGAGACCCCCCAAAAAGCCCGCGGAACCCGCGAACCACCCAAAGCCCTAAACATCCCCAAGCCCGGAAGCCCCCAAGGCCCCAAAAACCTGAACCCAAAACCTATAAACCCCTAAACCCGAAACCCTGAACCCTATGAACCCTAAACTACGGAAGCCCGAAAACTCGAAATCTTACCATCGCACACAAAAGACCTCCAAAGCCCCCGAAGCCACACAAGCTAAACCCTAAGCTCCGACGTCCCCAACAGCCCTGAAAACCCCTGCGACCTAGCTTTTAGGGTTGAGGGTTGAAGGTTTAGGGTTTAGGGTTTAGGGTTTAGGGTTTAACTCTTAATCCTAAACCCTAAAACCTAAGCATGAAAACATCAAGGCAAAAAAAAACCTAAACTGCTCAGTCCGAACGTCTTGAGGCGGGAAACGCACAGCAAGCCGTTGAACATGTACAAAAACATTATGGGGTTCTTAAGGGAGGGGGTTCATGGGAGGGTAGTAGCTAGGGAACCTTCGGGAAGCTTAGGGAGCCAGTAGGGAGCATTCGGGAACCTTGCGTTAAATACCCCCCGTCCCCCTCCCTTAAGCACACTGTACAAAACATCACCACCGTTTTGTTGCAGTACTTCCCAGGTTCCGGGATGCGCAAAGACTTTTTCATGCAAAGCAGGCTGCTGCAGCACCCTCGAACTAGACCAACCAGGCTGCTGCAGCAGCACCCTCTCCGGGTGATGGCCTCAGGCCCAGCATCATGAGCAACGCAGCCGGCCACGGGCACCGCAACATGAGCATCAGCCGGCAACCTTTTCGCGGCAAAACGGCCGCAGGCCCCGCATTATGAGCATCAGCCGGCAACCTTTTCGCCACAAACAAGCCTAGGCCCGGCATCATGAGCATCAGCCGGCAAACCCTTTTCACGGCAATCCGGGCTCAGGCCCAGCATCATGGGCATCACCGGCTGCGCTTTCAACGCAGCCGGCCACAGGCCCCGCATCATGAGCATCAGCCGGCAACCTTTTCGCCGCAAACCGGCCTAGCGCAGGCCCCATCACGGGCATCACAGGCCCCGCATCATGAGCATCAGCCGGCAACCTTTTCGCCACAAACCGGCCTAGGCCCAGCATCATGGGCATCACCGGCTGCGCTTTTCAACGCAGCCGGCCACAGGCCCCGCATCATGGGCATCACCGGCTGCGCTTTTCAACGCAGCCGGCCACAGGCCCCGCATCATGGGCATCACCGGCTGCGCTTTTCAACGCAGCCGCGCATCATGAGCATCAGCCGGCAACCTTTTCGCCGCAAACCGGCCTACGCCCGGCATCATGAGCATCAGCCTTCACGGCAATTCGGGCGCAGGCCCCGCATCACGGGCATCACAGGCCCCGCATCATGAGCATCAGCCGGCAACCTTTTCGCCGCAAACCGGCCTAGGCCCGGCATCATGGGCATCACCGGCTGCGCTTTTCAACGCAGCCGGCCACAGGCCCCGCATCATGAGCATCAGCCGGCAACCTTTTCGTCGCAAACCGGCCTAGGCCCGGCATCATGAGCATCAGCCGGCAAAACCTTTTCACGGCATTTCGGGCGCAGGCCCCGCATCATGGGCATCACAGGCCCCGCATCATGAGCATCAGCCGGCAACCTTTTCGCCGCAAACCGGCCCAGGCCCGGCATCATGGGCATCACCGGCTGCGCTTTTCAACGCAGCCGGCCACAGGCCCCGCATCATGGGCATCACCGGCTGCGCTTTTCAACGCAGCCGGGCCACAGGCCCGCATCATGAGCATCAGCCGGCAACCTTTTCGCCGCTAACCGGCCTAGGCCCGGCATCATGAGCATCAGCCGGCAAACCCTTTTCACGGCAACCCGGGCTCAGGCCCAGCATCATGGGCATCACCGGCTGCGAGTTTCAACGCAGCCGACCACGGGGGTGAGGTAACCTGCTTCAGTTGTCGAGAGAAACTAGCCTCAGGGCAAATGCATGGAAGTACCCGCAGCACATCAGCAGAGGAATCTGCTTGCGGTTTGTCGCAGGATTGGTAGGCGCAGTGCTGGGAGCGGGGTCTGTAACTGCGGCGTAGCAAGCGGAGGGCCAAACCCCCCCAAAATCCCAAACCCTAAACCCTAAACCCCAAGCGCTAAACCCTGAACCCTCGACCCTAAAAAATCCTAACCCCCCTCCGCCTCGGCGTCGCCGTCCTCAGCGCGCTGGCGTTGTACCTGGAGCTCGGAGGGGCACAGAAGCGTGGACGGCTTGAAGTGTTTAGGGGTAGGGTTTAAGGTTTACGGTTTAGGGTTTAGGGTTTAATTAAGGTTTAGTGTTTAGGGTTAGGAGTTGATAACTTTGACACTGAGGCTTGGTTTCTTAGGGCAGTTACATGGTCTCAAATGGGGAACTCTTATATACGACTGAAAAGAATCCTGCGAAACCCAGGGGCCCATACTTCAGAACCCTTGAAAAAATGTAAGGGACCAGGTTTAGGGTTTAGGGTTTAGGGTTTAGGGTTTAGGGTTTAGGGCTTAGGGCTTAGGGCTTAGGGCTTAGGGCTTAGGGTTTAGGGTTTAGGGGTAGGGTTTAAGGTTTCGGGTTTCGGGTTTAGGGTTTAGGGTTTAGGGTTTAGGGTTTAGGGTTTAGGGTTTAGGGTTTCGGGTTTAGGGTTTAGGGGTTAGGGTTTAGGCTTCAGCGTTTAGGTTTTAGGGTTTAGGGTTTAGGGTTTAGGGTTTAGGGTTTAGGGCTTTGGGGCTAACGGCTCCTATCCAGAGGCTATTGATCAAGGGACACTCTCTACGAGTTTAGGGTTTTGTGGTTCACGGTTTAGGGAGCTTAGGGAAAGGGGGGGAGACCTGTTTTCACTTAGTAAGTCTACTTCGTATCCCCTAGAAACCCTCTTAGAATCCCCATACCCCAACTTACTAACCCTCCTTACTACGTCAAAAGGGTTTCCAAGTAAACCCTAAACCCAAACCCTAAACCCGAAACCCGAAACCCTAAACCCTAAACCCTAAATCCTTTTGACAAAAACCTAGCCAGGCTTGCTAAGTCGAAAGGGCTTCCCAAGCAGGGAGGGGTCCCTCAAAACTACCCCCATAACTACGAGTATTTAGGGATCATTAAGCCTAATTAAGGTTATTTAAGGGGGGGTAGGAACCCTAAACCCTAAACCCTGAACCCTAAACCCTAAACCCTAAACCCTAAACCCATGAAAAGGGGAGGCCTCGAGCTGCGAGCGAAGGGAGTCCAGCTGGGAGTCCTTGCTGCGCGCGGCCTCGGCTTTCATGCGCTGGAATCCGAGACCCAAGGGCTTTAGGGTTCTGGGCTTCAGCCCTAAACCCTAAACCCTAGCCCTAAACCCTAAACCCTAAATCAACCCTACAGAAAAGACGCCGCAGCAAGCCCATGTGGGCAAAAAAGGTATTTGAACCTCGGAGCATCATGCCTGTAGCTCTTGGTACATGTTTTAGGGTTTAGGGTGTAGGGTTTAGGGTGAGAAACGGGGGATATCGTAAGTGGAACTCTTTGTACAAAGCTGCTGAGTTCATAAGCCCCCCAAAAAACATGTTGTACACTTTCAGTTCTATAGGGGATTGTAGTATCCCAAAAAGTGTCAAGCGTACGCATTCAGCTACCAAGATTCTGTATATCATCCCCAACATGACCTCAGTGAGACCAGGAAAAAGGTTGGGCGCAGGGTCTGAACCCGCCCACCCCCCCCTCCACCCCCCCCCCCCCACCCCTACCCCCATTGAGGCGGGTCGCGTAGCGTTAAAATTAAGGGAACCTAGGAGGGGTAGGCAAGGGGGGAGGGGGGGGGGGGGGAAACCTAAACTTGTAAACCCTAAACCCTAACCCTAAACCCTAAACCCTAGAGGGATATCATGGTATGTTTTGCTACATTCACGTTTGGGGCGGGGGGGGGGTCTAGGGCTGAGGGTACACAGCTTGGGGTTCAGCGAAGAACTCAGCATTGTCTAGGGTTTAGGGTTTGGGGTTTAGGGTTTAGGGCTTGGAGGTTTAGATGGACGCTTTCTCATCAAGAGCCCTCGAATAACGAAATCTCAGGGGCCTTAAATCCTCGACCCGATTAGAATCTGTAAGCATGGGACCCCTGGATTTGGGGTCCTCATGAGCCCTGAACCCTAAACCCTAACCCTAAACCCTAAACCCCAAACCCTAAACCCCAAACCCTAAAACCCAAACCCTAAACCCCAAACCCTAAACCCTAAGCCCTTTCAGCATCTATGTAAAGGGGCTGAATCGTACGGGCTTGGGGGCTCCGGGGAGGTGGGATCCTCCTGAGGCAGCCGACTGACTCCGCGGACTCCAGCCGCTCCTGGCTTGGGGTTTAGGGTTTAGGGTTTACGGTTTAGGGTTTAGGGTTTAGGGTTTAGGGTTCAGGGTTCAGGGTTCAGGGTTCAGGGTTCAGGGTTCAGGGTTTAGGGTTTACGGCTTGGGGTTAGGGGTTCAAGGTGCCTGAAGGTTCATGGGCCTCTACTGCAGCTGCCTCCCAGACTTCCTAAGCCCTGCACCCGCCTGGAAAGAAATTTATGCTAGGAGAGGTTTAGGGTTTAGGGTTAGGGCTTAGGGTTTAGTGTTTAGGGTTTAGGGTTTAGGGTTTAGGGTTTAGGGTTTAGGGTTTATGGTTTAGGGTTTAGGGTTACGGCTTAGGGTTGCCACAAATCCAACAACCCAGCACCAGGGGGCTCGCTGATGAAAGCCTAAATGAGGAGATCTTCCTTCAGCCCTTATTCCCAATCCAGATCTGCAACGGACTACCCTAAACCCTAAACCCTAAACCCTAAACCCTAAACCCTCAACCGCACCCCCCCCCCCCCCCCCCCCGCCCACACTTCTGCCCAGGAACCTGGATCTCCGCCTCGGCCACTTGCGCCCGGGCCTTCTCCTGGCTCATGTGGGTAGCTAGCTCTCTTCGAACTCAGAGGGCTAGAGGGTTTTGGATTAATAAATGGTTTTTAAAGTTTTAGATTGTATATACCATATAACTTAAACCATCTTACCTTGCTATGTTATGTTCTTCGCTCGATGCATGCTTATACCAGTCATCGTAGATTTCTTTCCACTTGCATTTCAAGCAACAGAAATATTCTGTACCAGAAGGCATTTCCTTTTATCTGGTCGTTCTAGTTTTTCACTGTTCAAACTTGTCTGTAAGAAGTATTGATGGTTTTTTGGACTTTTCGTGTTGCGTTTTCTTACACTTCTTAATGTCATAATCGCATAACTCTCGATGATACATGATGTGGTTGTCTTCTCGTATATTTGCCTGTCCTTCTTCGCTTTGCCTATATTGCTTTCTCTTGTACTTTGCTTCGCCCTTGTTCTCTTCAACAAACTGTTGCCTGTATCCTTTAACTTTGTCAGCCTTGTTAACATTCTATTGCTTCTTCGCTTCGTCTCTCTTGATCTTACCTTGATCCCGGCAACCAACACAGACATGAGCCCCAACACGAAACATATCAGGTGGATAGTCGTTGCCACATTGAATACACTTTTTCAAGTCTTCGGTCATCCCGTACCGATATAAAGCGTTGTCCCTTGAAACCTTTTACTCACCATGAGGTCTGGGGTCAGCGACCCTCATAGAAAACCCCCAAAGCCGATAACCCTGTCCTTTGAATGCCATGACATAGAACAATAGTTGTTCTGAAAGGTAGTTATTATTATACGGTATTCTTCTTGTGGCTTCTCTCGCCTCATACGCTCTATTGTCCTCGCGTCTGCAATTTCAACGAACATGTTCCCATTCCTTACATAAACCATAGTCAGTCGTACAGTCGTTTTCCATATACGGCATACCAGTAAAGGCGGCCCAAACTTCATTCTTTATCAAGCTCAGATCATTATTGCTTTTAGCTATTTCCTTTTTGCTTTTATATCCAGAAGCTGCTGCCTATACTATATAAGTTCTCAAACTTTATAAAATATGGTTTTGGGAAAATACAAATTTTTGTATGCTCTGATTTGGTCATCGTGCTTATCTAGTAGTATTCCAACGTCGTTTTCTTTGGAAGCTTAATATCTTTGTTGTTAAGTTAACATCATTTCTCCCATTCTTATAAACATCACTACATCCGTCCAGCGGTTTATTCACTGGTTTGTTTTTTTCTTGTCTTGCTCTCGGTGAGTTCTCACTTCTCTGAAACCTGCTGACTACTGATGTGCTTGATTGGTTGCGCAACATCATCTACATCTGACACGCAAAATAAAAGTTTTAGATTAAACATTTATTTGAAGGAAAAACGTTGAAAACCCTTACAAAGACTTGAATTTTCTTTGTGCAAAGCAGAGCCTCCCAGAAAACCTCCGGTTTTGTAGCGGTTCATAGAAACTAAGCATGAGATCTCCTACATACTTTATTTGTATTCTTTATTCTTATTAGGACTTTTGAACATCAAATCTGACAATTAGGACAAGATCTCACATCATTCATTTCGCCTTCACAATCGCATTTGTCGCTCAAATCAAACGATACGATGATTCTACCTACATATATTGTCATAAAGATGAGACGTGTTAAAATGAAAATCTATCTCTACTAATAGGGTTTGCGGTGTAGATTACGGGGCACGTTTGTGGTCCAAAACTCGAGGTTTTAAGCACATTTACGTTTTTGAGGCTTCCGGGAACTACTTGTTTGAAGAGTAGTTTCTCAGGAGTTATTGAGTGTTTGGATTTTTTGCAGAAGACATGTTCAGGCTTTGGGCTTGCACTGTGTTGTGTTGCAGGGGCTTGCCCTCAAGAGAGCTTTTGAAAGAAAGAAGTTCAATTTGCGCTGGCGTCAGTTCCACATGGCCGGATATGGGTTTTGGGGCGGGGCGGAAAGCGCGTGTGCTTCAACTGCCAGCGAATGTCGCTACGCACTGCACGCGCAGCTTGCTGGACACTGCCAATTCGTGTTTCACGAAGCGCCAACAATCCCGTGCCCCGTTCGGGGAGCGGTGGAGTCGAGTTTGCTGGCGTCATGGAGCCTCCGCTTGAGCAGGAAGAAGGTTGCTGTCGACTGCGGCAGCGCTGGACTCGTCGTCGGAGACTTCCAGCGCTGTTGAAAGGCCTTGCCTCCAGCAAAGCCCAGTCTGCTGAGCATACCAGGCCTTGAAAGCACGAGTCGGCGGAGAGTCCAAGGGAGATGAAGTCGTGGTGCTTTGCATGGGTATTCGTGGTTCGAAATTACTTCAATCAAAAACACCTGGCGGCGAAGTCGGGGGCTCCGTGGTAAGAAAGCAAGCCAGCGAACGGGAGCTTGGAGAAGAACCTGAAGCATCCAACGTGGGGCTGCTGAGCGGGGCGTTTGGCGCCACTGGCGCAGCACACTCCGGGATCCATTCCGCCAAAGAGGCGGGAACCTGCCACAAAGAGCAGTCTCCGAAGCGTTTCGCCACCCATCAGGCGTAAGCTTACCTTGCACTGCAGCAGCCGCAGCAGCAGGCATGGAAATGTGACCTTTCACCCCGGAGGCAGAACGCAAATAGCGCAAACCTCGACATCGTCCTCGACGACTGTCACTGAAAACCGCGTCTAAAGTGAACCGTTCCGGCTGGCCCAGGGCAAGCACATAACCTGAGAGAACACTGGCTCAAGGCTGAAGTTGCTGACGCTTCTGAAAAGGTTTGCAGAAATCTGTGATCAGACGCTGACACGCAGCAAAAAGGTGATCCTGCAGATCCTGAACGTCAAACAAGCTGAAGCCGGCGCCACGCAAAGGCCGCGGCAGCGGTACTTTGCATTGGCGTAGAACCAAAAAGTGCGGCAAGAGCCACAGGAAGGAAAGGACTCATGATTCGGCTCGGTCTGGCTCGGTGGACAAAAGCTGCAGAGACAGCATGGAAGTTTCACCGGCTGACAGAGGAGTGTGCAGGAACAGAATCTGACCAAGAAATAACAGAAACGATAGAAAAGACACGAACGATAACAAAAATATGAAAAAAAGATACAAACAGTTGCAATGACATAGCATAAAAACAATAGCATGAAGATGCCAAGTCAGTGCAAGTTCCGGTTATCTTTCCTTATGTGATACAGCTTTCTGGCAAGTGATGATATTTGCTGCCAAAGGGGCTAAGTTAATGCGTGCCACTGTGTAGGAGGCATCGCGATGCTTTTATGGCTTCAGGTTTTGAAGTTTTCAGGGTGTGAAGGTGCAAGAAGCGCGCACGCAAGCGTACGACTGTCCAATGCATGTTCAACTCACATGAATTTTCAAGTCACAAAGCTGGTCAGATACTGCGGCCTGTGCTGCAGACAGGTCGCAGTCCGCCTGAGCAGAACGAACTCAGCACGGCCACACCTTAAGATTGACGCGCAAAACAACCACGACATGTCAGACTTCCTGCACCTCCGCAAGCACGGACTCTGCGACGGCAGCCGCCAGCAACTGCACAGCATCCAAACGCTCGAACCGGGTCCAACATCGCTTGTGTTTTATTGTGTCACTTGCCTTCGACGGCGTTTGCATTGCGTCTTCTTGTTGTTTCTGGCTGCTAGTGGGGCTGTTGCACCAGTCTTCTCACCCGTTCTGCACATCATCCTTTCTGGTAGTTGAAGTTCTCCTTGCATGTAGTCTCGACATGCACAAGTCCTTCAACATGGAAAAGGCCAGCGCCAAGGTCGCTCAAGATGATGTCGAGGTCACCGGCTCCCGTCGACATAAGGGGCTGTCGGTACTGCGTGGCCCGCCTCAGGGCAAAGGAGGCGCGCAGGTTAAGGATGCAGATGATCCCGAAGCATTACAACTACTCTTGCGGTGTTATCGAACCAGCTCCAACTTCAAGAGCAGTCGCTTGTGCCTCGCGGTGCCGAGCTATGGAGGGCGTGCGCCTGCGGATTGTTGGAATCCTCGGCGATCGGACTGCTGCCCGGGGCCTGTGCTGCAGCCGCGGAACCAGTTCCTTTTTCCGGGCTCGACGTCGATGAATGGCTCGGGGAGGGGGAGCGGCCCTCCTCAAAGATCTGCTTCAAGAACCGTTGGAAGCGTAGGCTTGAGCGTTGAGCCGCCCCCCCTGCAGCGGCGCTTACGGCCTGCAGCTCTTCGCGACGCTCAGCCGTGCACGGGCCGCTCCGCCTCAGTTTTGGCTGGGAGCCTGCATGTGGCATCGCGTCGAGGGATGATGCAGCGTCGCTCTAGAGAGGGAGTCCCAAGACCCAAGAAGTCTTGAGCTAACGGAAGTATAAGAATACTTGAAGGAAGGAAGGAAGGAAGGAGGGAGGGAGGGAGGAGAAGGGGAGGGAAGAAGGGGAGGGAATAAGGGGAGGGAAGAAGGGGAGGGAAGAAGGGGAGGGAAGAAGGGGAGGGAAGAAGCGGAGGGAAGAAGGGGAGGGAAGAAGGGGAGGGAAGCAGGGGAGGAAGAAGGGGAGGGAAGAACGGGAGGGAAGAAGGGGAGGGAAAGAGGGGGAAGGAGGGCAAGGAGAGGGAAGGAGAGGGAAGGAGAGGGAAGGAGAGGGAAGGAGAGGGAAGGAGAGGGAAGGAGAGGGAAGGAGAGGGAAGGAGAGGGAAGGAGAGGGAAGGAGAGGGAAGGAGAGGGAAGGAGAGGGAAGGAGAGGGAAGGAGAGGGAAGGAGAGTGAAGGAGAGGGAAGAAGGAAAGGGAAGGAGAGGGAAGGAGAGGGAAGGAGAGGAGGGGAGGGGAGGGAAGCGGCACTGCAAGAAGTAGGGTTCAGGGGTTAGGAGCTGCCCAAGGACCTTGTGCCGAAACTGGTTTAGGGTTTAGGGTTTAAGGTTGAGGGTTTAGGGTTTAGGGTTTGGGGTAAGGTTTAGCGTTTCGGGTTTAGGGTTCAGGGTCCCCAAACTCTAAACGCCGCCTGCTCGAACTGGCGGCGCACGGCGGCGGTGGCATCTGCAGGCGCATAGAAAGACGCAAAGGGGGCTTTGGGCATTGGGGTGCGCTTTCACCTACAACCCAAAAACTCTGTGAGGGCTTGGGTGTCCCGTGCTTTAGGGCCTACCGCCCTGCCTCGGGGGATCCCAAGGCCTGCTGCGCAGCCCTTCTAGTTTCGGATTTAGGGTTTAGGGTTTAGGGTTTAGGGTTTAGGGTTTAGGGTTTAGGGTTTAGGGTTTAGGGGTTAAGGTCTAAGGTTTCGGGGTTTGGGCACAAGCCAGATGGCAACAACGACGATGATGCTGACGAAAGGAGACGAAGCCGAAGACGAAGATGACCAAGATGATGCTGATTCTGCTGACGCTGCTGATAACGATGGGAGGCGGAGGATGCTCCATTCACGTCGGCATCCAGTCAGCACTGAAGAAAGAATGCTTAAACGAGCATGTCTACAGTGGCACTAATGCGAAGGAGTGTTCTACACGATGAAAGTCCCTAAGCACTAAACCCTAATACGGCACCCCAGTCGGTGTGCCAACTCAGTGCCCGGCTCTGTTCCTCCATGATCTTGCCTGCAGGAGCACGATGGGGGTTGTTCTAAAGGCATAACTCTGATCCCGTTTTGGGATGTCTATTAAGGTACATCTTGATCAGGGTACCCCCATCGCTGGGCCCACAAGCCCGACGATATAGGTCCTGGCCACAAAGGGACCAAGAAGGGATCGACGGCGCTTCAAAAGGATCCAAAACAATGGTTCTGAGTCAAGGGTTCAAGATTTCTAGGGTGCAAAGTACAAAGAAAAAAGCCCTGCAAAAGCCCAAGCGCTGATCTACCTGACACTGCCTTACACCCTAAACCCTAAACCCTGCTTACCGCAACCCTAAACCCCAAATCCTAAACCCTAAACCCTAACCCCTAACCGAAAGCTCCCAGCCCCGATCCACGAGTACGCTGACTGCCTTCCAGCTGGCGACGCATCGGCTCGATCTCGGCCTTGCGACGAGCTAATTTTGTTGGACTTTAGGGTTTAGGGTTTAGGGTGTAGGGTTTAGGGTTTAGGGTTTTGGGCCTAGGGTGTAGGGTTTAGGGCTTCGGGCTTAGGGTTTAGGGTTGAGGGTTTCGAGTGGACTGCAGCTTCCCCAGCCGCCTCGCGAAGCTCGTCCTCGAACCTCCGGCGAAGCCTCAGAGTTAAACTCGACAGCTTACGGTTAAGGGGGGATTCAAGGTTTGAGGATTTCGGTTTTAAGGGTTTGGGGTTTGGGGCTTGAAGCTTTTAGGGTGCGGGGTTTAGAGTAGGGCTTGGGGGGTTAAAGTTTTGAGGGTGCTGGGAGGTGCTGGGCGTCCGATTGGGCTCTTCACACCCAGCGTACATCTTCGGGGACGGGATCGCAGCCAATTCGCTCAACTTGCCAGCGAACCCTAAACCCTTAAACCCTAAACCCTAAACCAGCTTGGTACGGAATGTTGTGACTGCGTCATTCGCAACCTGGGCATGCGCCGCAAAAGGGACCAGGCCGTACTTGAACTCGGGTATGTCCAAGTAGATGTCCAGGTGCTCCGACTTTGCGTCCGTCTGCCACTTTCTTCAAAAAAGCGCGCGAGCATGCGGCCAGGCAGCTAAGAAAACTTAAGCGAAAAGGTAGGCTGGTCTTGGGGCAGGCTCACTTGCTCTGGTACGACGCCCTCCGAAAATTCGGTAGATCCGCCATGTTCTTGTCGCCCACGGGCACGCTCCTACCAATCTGGATCCGTTTCCAGGGCCAGTCGCACCGGCACGGGGGCTCCATGGGCACTGCAGGGCGCGCAAGAAAGGCGGGTCATAACAATAATAACAATAACAATAATAATAATAATAATAATAATAATAATAATAATAGAGATGTTATCTGAGTTCCCTTTGCCACCGTCAAGACCAAGTTGATCGCAGAGGCTTCGCAAGTCTTGCCTGTCTTGCCTCTAGTGCAATGGTGCGAGGCGCTGATCGATGTCTCCGTCCGTTCGGTGGGGGGGGGGGGGCATCCTTGCCAATGGAAACCCTAAACCCTAAACCATAAACCCTAAAATCTCAGACATGGTCAAGCTTGGAGATGTCGAGCATGAGTCTGTCGGCGATGAGGTGCCTAAACCCTGAAGCCCTAAACTCCAAACCCTAAACACTTAAACCCCCCACCCAACCCTACACCCCAAGCCCTGAAAACCCCCTAAACCTAAACTTAAACCCTAAAACCCAAAACTCCAAAGCCAAGCTCCAAACCCTAACCCAGCCCTAAACCCGAAGCTCTAAAACCCTCAACCCTCAACCCTCAACCCTAAACCCGAGACCCTCAAACCTAAACCTTTCAGCCCCCCAACCCTTAACTCCTAACCCTAAACCCTAAACCTCCCAACCCTAAACCGCAAACCCTAAAACCCAAACCCTAAACCCTAAAACCCTAAAACCCTAAACCCCAAAACCCTAAACCCTAAACCCTAAAACCCTAAACCCTAAAACCCTAAACCCTAAACCCTAAACCCTAAAACCCTAAAACCCTAAAACCCTAAACCCTAAACCCGAAAACCCTAAAACCCTAAAACCCTAAAACCCTAAACCCTAGAACCCTAAACCCCAAACCCTAAACCCTAAAACCCTAAACCCTAAACCCTTGAATCCAGGCCCGCGAAGTGCCAAACACCGGGGCGCCCGGGCCGCCCGAAGTCCTGCGGCGCCAAGGCGCGGTGTTGAAGCTCCTGGGCTTGTTGGGGCTTCCTTTCTAGGGTTTAGGGTTTAGGGTTTGGGGTTTAGGGTTTAGGGTTTAGGGCTTAGAGCTGAGGGCTTAGGGCCTAGGGCTGAGGGTTGGGGGGGCCTAAGGGTGTAGGGTTTAGGGTTTAGGGTTTCGGGTGTAGCACTGGTCAGCTGAACGCAGTAGGGTGGAGACATGCCCACAACTCACAGCGAGCCAAAACTGAACATCCCTGGTTCATTTATGCGCCAGCAAATGCTCAGGGAATCAAATTTCGGGTTTGCGTTGGAGGGGGGGGGTATTCTAGGCCATAGGGCCTTTCTCATGGAACAGAATTAAGGGGCCTTAGGATTTAGGGCTTAGGGTTTAGGGCTTAGGGTTTGGGGTTAAGGCTTCTTAGTGCTTGTTTGGCGTCTCTTAGGGGCCTGCGCGTGGCTTAGGGATTCTCAGGGTTGCAGGGTTTACGGGTAGCTCAGGGCCTTTCAGAAAAGACCAGCATTCTTGCGACAAATCGTCACATAAAATTGAGGAGGGCATTGTCCCAAAACATAGGGACACCCCGAATATACCCCAAATATGCGATACAATCATCTTTTGAAGAAAAGGAATCGCCCAGATGAAGTACCCAAATTTCCCGAAATCCCCCAAATAAACGGGAAGAAGGGTTTGGGCTTGCGTTTGGGGAGTCGGTCGAGGCACCTCGCACTCGCGGCACTTCTCGCGGAGATGTTCCCTGGCACATGTCGTGGGGGACTGGAGTGACTTGAAAGCGGTTTAAGGCTTAGTCTTAAGTCTTAAAGCTTGGCAGACTTCTGAACCCCTCCTAAAAGTTAAACTTTTAGCCCCCTTATTGTAGTTACAAGGAAACCCAAAAAGTTGAAGTCCTAAGAGCCAACCAGAAGACAGCTAAGCTTAGGGGTTTCGAGTGACCCAAAAACCACGAAAAGCAAGTCTCAGAGTTCTTGAACTTTGTGTTCAACTCTCGACACCCAAGCCCCTGGACCCTGAACCCCAGTCCCTGAACCCAAAACCCTAACACCTGATACCCTAAAGCCCTAACTAAACCCTGAAGGCCTAGAACCCTAAAACCCTGAAACCTGAAACCCTAAAACCCTAAACCCTGGACTCTGGGTTCTTGCGTTTCAGGCTGAGCACTCAAAACCTGAAGCCCAAGAACAGGAACAGCCACGCCTGGCATCACGGGGGGAACACGGGGTTGGTTTAGGGTTTAGGGTTTAGGGTTTAGGCTGTAAGGTTTAGGGTTTAGGGTTTACGGTTTAGGGTTTAGGGTTTAGGGTCTTCAGGCGAAGGGTTGCAGGGCTTAGGGGCTTATGGCTTCGAGGGCTTGGGGTTACTAGGGCTAAGAGTTTTAGGGTTTAGGGGCTTCGGTGATTGGGGTGCTTAGGGAGTTAGGGCGTTACCTTTGATACCCCTTGGAAGCAGACTCCCATCAAGGACTGTTAGTATAAGGGTGAACATCCCAAGGTGTAGCCCTAAACCCTAAACCCTAAACCCTAAGTCCCAAACCCTGGACCCCATAGCAGGCCTCAAGCGAGCTGCTTCTGCAGACACCTTGTGGCTTGCTGGCGCGTGACCCTCTTGCCGGGGTTTAGGGGTTAGGGCTTCAGGGTTTAGGGTTTAGGGTTTGGGGTTGAGGGTTTGGGGTTTAGGGCTTAAGGTTTAGGGTTTAATTAGGGTTTAGGGGTTTGTGGCGTCTATGGACTGGTGGTCCGGAGCTCCCAGAAAGGTCTGACAGACTGTAGTGCAGCTCACCATGACCCGGGACCCCCACCCTTGAAACCAAAGCTTACAGCCTCCCCCTAAACCCTAAACCCTACACCCTCAAGCTTCAAGGGCTCAGGAAACCTCACCCCTCCAAAAATGAGAGTATTGCAGCGTTTGTAGGGTTAAGGGTGTGGGGGGCGGTTTTGTAGAGCCCCAACAGCGTCAAACACCACCAAACCCTAAACCCTAAACCCTAAACCCTAAACCCCAAACCCCAAAAAAAAGACCCCTCACCTTCCGGATGGCGTCGAACTGCTCTGCCTGGTGCCAGCCATGCGATAGCTTAAGGGCACAAAGGCTCTGGCCCTAAACCTTACAATGCTACAAACCCTAAGAATTCTAAACCCTGAGGGCCTAAACGGGTGCTGAACGCCTCGAACGCCGGAGACGAAGGAACACAACATGGCAACCGAACCCGATCCCCCTGAACCCTAAACCCTACATCGCAAATTATACTAACTAGCTGTGCTATACCTCTGTGCAGCTCTCCTCATTTTGCGGTCCCTTGCAGGGGGGAATTCTTTAGCCCCCCTGAGCTCTAAACCCTCTTAAAGCTCTAAACCCTAAACCCTAAACCCTAAACCCTAAACCCTAAACCCTAAACCCTAAACCCTAAACCCTAAACCCTAACCCTAAAACCCCCCGTGGAAAGGGGCTTCCTGCCTGCTCCTGCCGGAGCCGCCGGCCCAGCGAGTCCCTATCCTCCTGTAGGCGCTTGTACCTGGTTTGGGAGGCTTATTTGGTTCAGGGCTTAGAGTTTCGGGAGTTTAGGATTTCTGGAGTCCAGGGAGTTCAGGGAGTTTAGGGAGTTTAGGGACTTTGGGGTCTGAGTTTGGGTCTGCAGGGCGTGGGGAGGGTGGACGTCTAGGTCGTGTAGCACGCTAAGCTCGAGTCCTTTGCTGAGGGGGTCCCTATAAGGATGCCGGTTTCTCTAAACCCCAAGCTCGTCCCGAGCCCTTCCTCTGCCAAGCTCAAAGAGGTCCTGAAACCCCAAGAGCCCCAAAAAACCTAAACCCTCAGGGTTTAGGGTTTAGGGTTTAGGGTTGAGGGTTTAGGGTTTAGGGTTTAGGGTTGAGGGCTGAGGGTTTAGGGTTTAGGGTTTAGGGTTTGCCAGGCCCTTGCACCACCGACCAGATTTTATGTCATTGGAACCAGGGGGCGCGGGCAGAGACTGCTGTGCGAAGTTGGAAAGCCGTGCAAGATTTCTGCCATCCACAGTCCCCAGAAGTGGGTGCAGCCTCTAGCAAGAAGTTCACAAGTGGCGCAAGTTTCCTCCATCGTCCATCCACCGCACGACCCCAACGCTCAATCCTAACGCCCCTGAAGCCCCTTCGAATCCTCCCTCTGAAAAACTCCCCAAACCCCTTGACGCCCCTAAGCCCCGTTCCCCCCCCCAAACAAAAACACACGCAAAAAAATGAAATACAAAATTGAAAAAAACAAACAAACAGAAAAGAAAGAGAGAGAAGAGAGGGAGAGCAAAGGGCACAGCTCTTGGAGAGACTCATGCAGCCGGCGCAGTGTGGCGTTGTCGTCCTGGTCCAGGCGTTCCAAGGGAAGAATCGGGAGTTTGGAGGTTTGAGGGTTTGGGCTTTAGGGTCTGGGGTTGGGGCTTCGGGTTTGAATTCGGAGTTGTAGCAGAAGTGTGGGTTTTTCTCAACGGTTCGGGTTTGGGCGAATTCTCGGTCTTGGAGAAGTCGGGTTGAGGGTTTAGGGTTTAGGGCTGTAGGGTTTAGGGTTTAGGGTTTAGGGTTTAGGGTTTAGGGTTTAGGGTTTAGGGTTTAGGGTTGAGGGTTTAGGGTTTAGGGTTTAAGGCTTAATGCAGCTTCCCCCCGGTCGCATCGCCCTGGTTGTAAGTGCCCATGAACCTAACAAAGCAACCCCCCGACCTCTATTGCCCCCCAATCTCTGGTTCTTAGCTAGAGAATGAGGGCTTTGGGTACGTTGTGTCCCTTTATATATACCCATGTACCCTTTAAGCATAGGGTACCTTTCCTACTAAGAACCAGTAAGTTATAATGCAGCTCGCAAAGAATTTGAAGGAGCGACATCCCGAGGTTTAATTTCAGACTCAGGGTCTGGGTTTAAGCTTTAGGCGGTTTAGGGTTTAGGGTTCAGGGTTCAGGGTTTAGGGTTTAGGGTATGGGGATCATGGGTTTGTGGGGCGCTTTAGGGCTTTCAAGTCGTGGAAGAAGGAAGGCCCAACAGGACACTGAGGTAAATAAGAGTTAACCCTACGACCTAAAACCCGAAAAGACCTGAACCCTAAACTCCCCAAAACCCTACCCTAATTCCCTGAAAAACCCTAAGAAAACCTCAAAAAACCCTCAAAAGCTCAGAAAAAATACCGAAGACAACCCTTCAAAACGACCCTTGAAACCTTCTAAAAAAGCCCTAAACATACCGCTAAAACGCCCGCCCACTGACTGATTGACAGATCCACTGGCGCGCTCTTCTTTACCTGGCGGCTTCCAGAATCTGGCGGCAGCAGGCCCAGAGGCTAATTTCGGGGCCTGAAAAATTAGAATAGGGTTTTGGGGGCTATTCTGGTATAATAATAAAGGAACCCTAAGGGAATGCAATTATTCCGACCCCTATGCTCTAGGCTTGCGGGCGTTTGGGGTTTAGGGTTTAGGGTTTGGGGTTTATGGTTTAAGGGACTTTGCGTCTTCAGGATTTAGGGCAAAGAGCGCCAGAAATATTCAGAAGCCACCAAACTGTGAAACGATCGCAGGGGCGCCCTCGCGGATGTTCTGCCAAGCGTTTAGCGTCCAGGGTTTAAGGGTTTAGGGTTTAGGGTTTAGGGTTGAGCAAGGTTCGCTTGAAGGTTCATGGGCAGCTTCAAGGAGTCTACAGCCTGCTTACAGGCACCCGTAGGGGGCTTGACAGACAGGGTTTGGGGCTTAGGGCTCCGCAAAGCCTGGAATCTACAGGCCCACGAGACCTTTAGGGTTTAGGACTTTAAGGCCAGGCTTTCAAGGTCCCCAAGCCCTAAACCCTAATTAAACCCTAAACCCTCAACCCTACACCCTTCTTAGAGTGTGAGGGTTAGGGTCTAAGGCTAGGAGTCGAACTCTCCATGGGCTTTCAAAGCGTTTAGCGCCTTGGAGGCTTTAACTTAGTTGTCCAGTAACCTGGGGGAACTAAAGGTCAACCTTTGGGATTATTAGGGGATTATATTTCCCCAAACCCTAAACCCTAAACCCTGAACCCTAAACCCTAAACCCCAAAAAGGTTAAAGGGTACCTACTCTACTAGGTTAAGGTTCTTTGAGCTCTTTAAGGGCATCCCCGACCCCTACGAGGGATCTCGGAGTGCCAGAAAGGCATGCGACGAGCTCCTAAACCCTAAACCCTAAACCCTAGACCCTAAACCCTAAACCCTAAACCCTAAACCCTGAACCCTGACACCCTAAACCCTAAACCCTACAACCCTACCACCCGACCGAAAACACGGCCTAGGGCTCCAAGGAGTCAGCTCTCAGCTTCTGTGGCAGGCGGGATCACCTGGCGAGGATGGTACTTCGCAGGTTCATGAAGTACTTCTAGGTGGAGTTTGGGGGGTAGGGTTTAGGGTTTAGGGTTTAGGGTTTAGGGTTTAGGGTTCAGGGTTTAGGGTTTAGGGTTTAGGGTTTAGGGTTTAGGGTCTAGGGTTTAGGGTTTAGGGTTCAGGGCTGATGTGTTGGGTTTAGGGGTGTAGGGTTCACGGGTTTAGGGTTCTTGGGTACTTATACGTACATCAGAAAGCCTGAACCCCCAAAACCCCAGAGGGTCTGGTTTCGGGGGATGACCGGGGTGTGGGTCCCGCAAAACGCGCACTAGGCCCTCTGTATCCTCCGCAGCTGATCAGGTTTAGGGGTTTAGGGGCTATGGTAGGGGTTTAGGGTTTAGGGTTTAGGGGTTAAGGGAATTGGGGTTTAGGGGTCTAGAGTATAGGGCTTTAGGGGTTTAGGGGTTTAGGGGTTTAGGGGTTTAGGGGTCTAGGGGTTTAGGGGTTTAGGGGTTTAGGGGTTTAGGGGTTTAGGGGTTTAAGGGTTTAGGGGTTTAGGTGTTTAGGGGTTTAGGGGTTTAGGGGTTTAGGGGTTTAGGGGTTTGGGGTTTAGGGGTTTAGGGGTTTAGGGTGGTTTCGGGGTTTAGGGGTTTAGGGGTTTAGGGGTTTAGGGGTTTAGGGGTTTAGGGTTTAGGTGTTGAGGGTTTAGGGAGGCTGCAAGCTAGGGGCTTGTAGGGTCGTTGAAAACGGCCACAGCTCGGCCCACACTACACCACCCGAAGGCCTCAGCCCTAACCCAGAGACCGTAACAGCCTACACACCTCTAAACACCTCTAAGCACCTCTAAACACCTCTAAACACCTCTAAACACCTCTGAACACTGCTAAACACCTCTAAACACCTCGAAACACCTCTCCAGAAACACCCTAAACAAGCCCCAACACCTTACACCCCTCTAAACACTTCTACACACCTCTAAACACCACTAAAAACCTCTAAACCTCACTAAAAAATCTCTAAACACCCTAAGCCCTGTGGCTTCAAAAGCGTAGGCCTGGCCATTCCTAAACCCTAATACCCTAAACCCTAAACCCGAAACCCCTAAACCCCTAAACACTAAACCCGAAACCCCTAAACCCCTAAACCCTAAACCCTAAACCCTAAACCCTAAACCCTAAACCCTAAACCCTATACTAGGCCTGGCCATTCATGGGCTGCCAGAGGCGCTTCCGCACGCGCAGCTCCTTCCGCCGAAGCGCGGGGCCAAGGGTTTGGAGTTTGGGACTTGGGGTTTAAGGGTTTAGGGTTTAGGGTTTGGGGTTTGGGGTTTAGGGTTTCGGGTTTAGGGTTTAGGGTTTAGTGAAAGGCATATAGGGCGCGAGGGACTGGATTTGGGCTTGTAGAAACCCCCAAGAACCCTAGGCCCCAAGCCCAACACCCTAAACCCTAAGCCCTAAACCCTAAGTCCTAAACCCTCAACCTAAGCCCTAAACCCTAAACCCCAAGCCCCTGTCGACCTGGCCTCCTCAAGGCCCTGCACCATCTTCTCGAGCGCCTGGCACGAGCAGGTTACATGGTTCTGAGGAGAGGGGGGGGTTCAGGGTTTGGGGGGTTAGGGGTTTAGGGTTTAGGGTTTAGGGTTTAGGGTGTAGGGTTTAGGGTACTCAAGGTTCCCTAATCCTCCCCGCTGCTCTCTGGGGCTCCCGAAGCTTCCCCAAAAGGCTGCCTAGGTACCTACCCCCCATGAAACCCCCTCCTTAAGGACCCTCTTCTAAGCAGGAGGGGATGGGGTGACGATCATTTCCTAAATCCCCATACAATTCCACTAATGAGGTGCGGGGTGTGGGCTTTAGGGTGTAGGTTTCAGGATTCAGGGTTGAGGGCTGACGGTTTAGGTTTAGGTTTTAGGGTTGCAAAACACCCGAAGAAAAACCCACACAGACACAGAGAGAGAGAGAGAGAGAGACAGACAGACACAGAGACAGAGACACACACAGAGACAGAGACAGACACACCCCCAAACCCAGAAAAAGGTTTGGGAGTCAGAGTGTATTTCAGAGAACACTGAACCGCCCAGAATGAAACCCTAAACCCTAAACCCTAAACCCTTGAAGAGGCCAAGGGCCGGCGCGCCGTGTCCACCGTGTAGGCGCCCCCAAAAGGCTTCCAGAGCTCGTAGATGACCTGGAGGGTCATGACCTCAGCATCGGAGCCCTCTTGAGGGTTTAGGGTTTAGGGTTTAGGGTCTAGGGTCTAGGGTTTAGGGTTTAGGGTTTAGGGTTGTTATACCTGTCCCCAAAAAGTAACCATGTGGCAGGCTCCTTTTTCATAACCCTGCGTGTAATTATATCTCCAGAAAATTCCATACCCTGCAAGCGAAAATCCTGCCCTGGAGCCTCCTTCCTGAAAACCATTGTATGTTAAGTCCACAACATCCCCCGAACTTCCTCCCAATTCACCAAAATCGAGTGCGTGTTCGTCGAGTGTTGGCGGGATTGGGAGATCGAGCTGTACATACCTCAACCCTTTCCCCTGCGGCTCATGTACTCGCGCGTAGGAGGGAACTCGTCCATTTTATCCCCCTACAATGACCCTTCCCAAGGGACAAAAAAAGAAACCTAAATTCCGCAATACCAACCCTCCTAAGAACCAGTACTCTAGGTTTAGCTTGGGCCTAAATCTGGGCAAATCTTGCTCTTGGGTTCTTATATATCTGAATAACGAAGGTCCTTTAAAGGGGCGGGCCATGGGGATAAGAGACCCCTTGATAGGTACCTGCATCTAAATCCTGCCCTAAGGTACGGACAACTCTACTTGCAACTACCCAGGACCTGAAGCAGGCCCTAATCAAACCCTAAACCCTATACCTTGACTTGAGGTGCAGTGTAGGAGGGCAAATCCTAAACCCTAAACCCTAAACCCCTCTTTGGGCAGGTAGTCCCGGGTTTGTTTGTGGCTTCTGGTTGAAGGTTCCGAAACTGAGGCTTTCGTGATTGAATGGGATCTTAAGAGGCCTTCGAGGGTGGAGGGGGGCCTTGAAGCATTAG